TAAATGTGCACCCATAAATAAAGTACTACTTGACAAAGGATCCAAAAACTCTTAATTCCTCTTGCGAGCAATTCAAAAGGTCCAAACATTTAAAGTTTCTCTAATAGGTAAACAAATCAAAATCCAGTGCTGGCCCTGAGTATAGGCTCGCCTAAGGCCCCACTTTGGTGAGGGAGTTGAATAGAAATACATGCCAAAAAAATTTATTTGTTTTTTATTTTACACATATTTTTACATATAAATAAGGTTCCATATTTGAAATCGGTCTAAATATAGATGACAATTTGAACAGTTAAAATCGAAAATCGCAGTTAACCGAGCCGAATGGAGCGAAAAAAATCGAACCAATGGTGCAATGGGGGTGATATAGTATTTGATTTTAATGAATCGGTTCGTGACGGTGCGGGTTTGGTATTTACGCCGTCGAACTGAAACCGAATCGACTACCCGCTTAAAAAAATCATTCTTTTATTAGGAATAGCAAGTATAGTGAGAAGGAAGTTGACGAAAGGTACATTTTTTTATTTAAATCTTAGTTAAAACCATTTTGGATTAGGTAGTATCATTGTATTCTCTACTTACATTTCTTATTTACTATATAAGAATCAATTTTGAGTGCTTACCTATACTAGTTAGAGTTGTGGGGAAGAATGAAGATTGAATATGAGTTAAGGTTGAAATTTTTGAATTATTGAGCATGAATCAAGTAACTATAATGCACAAGAATCAATAATGAAGGAAAAGTTTAGTATTGTTATATTCATAATATTGTTTGTTAAATTTGTATTTTACAATTGGAATTTGGGATAATGTTTGCATTTTCGTTTGGAATATTATGTTTTTGTTTTCATTGACTCTCTTTTCGTAAATTGTTTTATATCAATTTGACGGATGGACCTATAAAAAATAATTTATTTTCGTGGTTATTAATTGAATCGAGATACGAACCGAATCGAACCGAATGGATTTATGTGATTATGGTATGGCAAAAAATTTGACGGTTCGGTGATGATTTTGGCGGAACTGAACCGAAACCGAACCGTTGCCATCCCTGGGTCTAAAGCCCCCAAAATCTCACGGCCGACCTTGTTAGAATCCTTTCGACAAAGAAGACAAAAAAACCCTTTAGTTCTTTATTTATATAAGGTAGGCAAAGTCACCCGTGTAATGCACAATAATATATTGTGAAGATTCTCACAGCCCAAAAAGGTAAGCTTCTGAGACCAATATATTACCAAAAAAATAGTTTAAAAAAAAAATTCTCTATCTCTTTTCCAAATGAAAAAGTGAATCATAAAGGCATCACTAACACTGATCGAAACAAACTTGAACCAAAAATCAACACCCTGAACTTTGAACAAAGCACATTACCATAATCCTTGACTCGAACTCCATCGCTTCTGTCATTCTTAAACCGCGACGCACCCGGCCACTGACAATATTCTGCAAAAAAAAAATGAAAAAGGAAAAAGAAATCCAGAGCAGAAGTAAAACTTCATTGGAATATTTACCAGGGTGAATTGCATACTACTGTACAATTGAAGTTCTATCCAGTGTAATATTCAATCATGTCCAATGCTAGCTAATAAACATGTGAAATGCCAAGCGATAAGTACAAAACGATCATGGGTAAAACAACAAAAGTGGACCTGGGTCGGAGTTGGATATGGAGTCCGAATTGGAGTCAGTGTCGGCGGAGTAATCGGAATTGTTGTTGGTGAGGTTGAGCCACTTGCGCATGACCACTCGAGCCCAGAAAAGCTGCAGGCATGTGCAACCGAAACACAATTTTTCAGCCCAATTTTTCTGCAATCTCTCTCAAGTCACCCAATAAAAAAAGGATTTCTAGTAATCATCAGTCTAAAAAAGAGAAATCTGTAAAAACATACAACAATACCTCTGATTGCCGGCGTTGGGGTCTTGAATTCTGCTTCCTCATGTTCAAACAGAAAGTCTGAACGGAAAATTGTAAGAAATAAATGGCAAAACTGTGGGGGGAAAAAAACAGATTATAAATGATTAAACCCGGAGCTCAAGTGGGTCGTTAATTATACCTTTATAGTATTAATTAATTTTAACGGGAGTGAGTTATGTGCTTCGGGAAGGAGTTTGACAGTGACATTTCGGTGGCGCAAAACTCGCCAACGAAATTAACATTTTGACGTGTGAAATCAAATCTTGACGTCTGCCATTTAATTCAGTTGATATGAGTTCTCCATTTTGTGGCTGATGTAACATTTTTTTTTTTTAATATCTAAAACCAGACAGAACTCTCCACCTACGAAAATTTCCATAATTAGAAAATGACAACACTGGTCGGTTACAGCCAGTTCTAATTCATTCTACATGTGAAATCGAATCTTGACATCTGCCATTAATTCAGTGGATCTGAATTCTCCATTTTGTGGCTTTTTTCTTTTTCTTTTTTTATCTCTAAAACCAAAAAGAACTCTCCACATATGAAAATTTCCATAATTAGAAAATGACAACACAAAGCTTGCTGTGTGTACAGAAATTGCACGCACAGAAATCATACAGAATAGACGCAATAGCGGGTGGGTTGGGGGATTTTTTGACATTTTTTATCACAACGTGGGTCCCACACACGTGAGATTTTTGGCAGAATTCTATGAAACGGTTTTCTGTACAAATGGAAATCTTCATGACAACACTGGTAACTTACATCCAGGTTTAGTTACTACTAACCCAGTTTATACATCATTATTTCAAAATCCTTATTTTCTCAAATTCGTTTTCAATTATACATTCTCACAATAAAATATCTTACATGTAAAATTTAAACTTTTTCACATTTTTTAATCACATATTCTCCAAAAATTTATTATTCCAGAAACTCATTTTTCCTACTTTAATGATTGGCAAACAAGGGCTTAATGTTCATCACTATAACAAAACCCACAGTTATCATCTGAATTATTGTAATACAACGAGCCTTATAGAAGAAATACAAATTATAATTTTGTCGATTATGATATCGAATACTGATCAAAGAAAGACGAACTAAGAAAATAACGTTTCATGTTGGAAATAATAATACCGAGGATCGCATGATTATTTATATTGCAATTTGCTTTTAAGTCAATTATGGGTAAAATTCTATGGACATGTTAATCGTGCTTCACCATCTGGTCCTATGTGAGCAATCATGTTATAAGCATGCTTGGTTTTTATTTAAAGAAAGTAAAGTTTCTTTTGGAAAAAGTAAATTTTCAGTTAAAAATCATAAGAGAAAGGTATCTTCTTAAAAAAGCTAAACATGTTTCGACTAAAAAAGTGAAAACGGATTGACAGAAAAAAGCAAATCATCCAGACAGAATTATTAGAGGAAAAACCTTTTAACCAAAAAATTCAGAACCTCCATATGTTCATAATTGAGTATTGTAATTAAACATAAAAATCTGTCTAAGCATGAATCAGAAGCTCATAGCAGAAATGAATTCCAGCTGAAGATTATGAAAGTGAGCCAATATACAAAAATATCGTATGATTTAGAGCATGTGTTGACCATCTTAAAAGCCGACTATACATGCCGCCAAAATTGCCACCTTTCAATGATTTTTAAACGACTTTTAAGCAGGATCAACGTACCTTAAAAGATGTGAGAGTCGGGTTGCTAGAGTGCACCTGCAATGTAAGGTGCAATTTCTTCTACTTCTCAGCACAGCACCAGAGAATAAAGACTACAAGTGGTTGTGTAATGAATAAAAGGTAAAAGAGAATCCACCTTTTGACAACTTATAATTCAGCTCAACAATTCAGATTATGCCACGTGGCATTTTAGTTTTAGCCATTTTAAATTTTTTTATTAAAGGATTTTTTTAGGTTTCATGTTTTGACTTTGTGGGCCAATCAGACAATAACTAGTAGTGAGTTTTTCATTAAGCCCCTCTTTGATCTTCATTTTCAAAAACTTTTATTTTTCATATTTATTTTTAACCACGTATTTAATATGATTCATAATTTTTATCAATTTTTCAAATATATATTTCATCGATCCTTATCAAAATCTACTAAAAATTTAGGGAGTGTTTGGGAGTGATTTTTCATCCAAAAAATTTGATTTTTTGACCGTTATCTTACCATTCCAACCGTAAAGTTTGACTTCTTCTCTCACATGTGATCCCCACTTTTCTCCTAACAGTCACAAAATTAATTCTCAAAATCGCTCTCAAACGGGACCTTAATTTTTAGCTAAACCAAATAGGAATAGCCAAATAACATATTCCATGAATGCAATAATTTTGAGATGAATAATGTTAGACTATAATATTAGTACATATATAGCATTAGTTTATATAGTAATAGTAGTGGCTCCATCGCATAGATTGGTGCCATGCATCACTATTGTCGTGTAGCATTATTCCATCGTAACTTGTAGTCAATGTTTATTTAAATTTCCTTATAATTTGAAATAAAATAATGCTATTTGCAGCTGCTCATTGCGATAGTCGTCGTACGTGGTATACACATGACAGGTAGTTATTTGATGCATTAATGAATAAAAAAGTTACCACGTTAATGCATTAAATAATCATCTGCCATGTGTATGCCATATAGGACGACTACCGCAATGAGCGATTACAAATAACATTACTCTTTGAAATAAGATAAAAGTTGGATAATAAACCATTCAAACTTAAATAATTTATGAAATAATTATAATTTAAATCTTGATGACAGTGGATGATGTCATTTGAAAGCTGTATTTTGTCCTTTATTGGAATATATAAATCTCATAATCCAACTAAATCCCACATTGTTGACACGTACCAATTTATGATCACTGTGTGATATTACATGCATTAAGAGAAATTTAAAAATATAAAAGTCAAATTTTCATTAACTAAAAATTTACACAAATTTGTTATTTATCATTGCACGTTGTCGCGTTCCTAGGCTATGAAGCTGACAAATAAAACTATATTAAACTTATTGGTACCACTTTGTAGATTATGTGTTAGTTATGGTCATGGGCGGAGGCAGCCCAGCACTACTCCCGAGCCCATATAAAAAAATTAATAAGAAAGTGTAGAGTTTTGATTCAAATGTTAGCATTAGCACTTTACTCTCCAGCCAATATGAAAAATTAAGAAGAGAGTGTAAAGTTTTGGCCCGAATGTTAGCATTAGCTCAGCTCTAATTTGAATCTCAACCTAAGTCTAATGTTCAATTATTTAAATTGTATAAAAGACATCAATTATTAATTACTCTTTTCATGATATTCATAAAATGTGAATATTTTATTGTCAAATTAGATATTGTACTTAATGTATATTTGACTAAAATTTACTTATAATTATTAAGTAAATTTTATTATAGAATATTAGTATTGATTAGATCTAAAAGTAAATTACTTATTTTAATAGTTAGAGACACTACGTATTTTTCAAAATTTTAAGGTAATTATTATTTTTTATTTCTACATCTATTTTCATTTATTATTTATTCATATTTATTAAAAAAATTACTTATTTTGATTATAAAATAGATATTATGATCAAAATAAATAACTTTTTATAGATTTGATATTGACAATAAAAAGAATATTTGTTAAAATTTATTTATTTATAAAGTAATCTACATATGAGTATATTCTTGAAATCAAGCAGAAAATGGATGTGAATTAAATTTAATATCTTTAACACTCAAAATTCTTAGTTTATTTTTCTTACTTTGATTGAGATTCTTCACTCACTTTGAAATATAGTGATATAAAAAATTGATGAAAACACCAAATAATATTTTGAGATAATAATATATGGATTATAGTGATATATTATTGATTGCATGTTTCAATCCAGTTTCAGTTGTTTGGAAAGATTGGTTGTAAAAGTTATTAGAATGGTACTTATTAAGTTTTTATTTTTTTAATTTTCATTGGTGGATATATATTTTTGGTTATTTCTATCATAGTTAGTTTATATTTTTTAATGTAAGCATTTGTTAAAAAAATACAAAGATTTAGTGGAATATATTAATGTGAGACATTTAAACTTTTTTTTATTTCACTGAGTTTTGTATACTTTTTGTTGTGAATGTCACAAAAATAGCCTCCGAAACTCGATTTCTTGTGGCGTAAGTTTATTAAAAAAAATTAAATTTCAGGCCATCCTAATATCGTTTTCTGGCTCCGCCCCTGGTTATGGTCGTCTTCTGAAAAATTAAAAAATGGTTATTAGATTTTGATGGAAATTTTGTAGTTGGAGTTTCAAACTTCTAAATTAGTTGCATATTATATTCAATTTTTTCATTTCTACACCTACATATCCAAATCTTTCATTCAATTATAGCTAGAGGACAAATGGACAAAATCCACCATTCCTTCTTCAGTTGATCGAAATAAATGAATTTAACCACATTTGATTAAATGTAAAAGTGCAAATTTGTAAATTACATATTTCTATAATAAATAATTATTAAAAAGTTGATGAAATGTATGATTGAAAAGTCGTAAATCTCATGAAATATGTGATTAAAATTAATTTGTTGAGTTTGACTTGAATTTTTTAGCAACTTTTAATCAATTATGAGATTTAATAGATGTTATTTTTTAATTTGAAATAATTATAGTGAATATATTGCCTAAGAAAAATATTTGATAAAATAATTTATTGTTATAAAGTAAATAATTTTTTATAACATTGTTATTTATAATTAATGTCCATTTTAGTAATTTTATCCACTCACAGCAATAAATTACTTTTATTTACCAAATACTGAATTCTGATTTTGAAACATACATAGTATTTTGCATCTGAATTTTTTCTTTAACTGATTCTCTCAGAAGTAAGATAATATCAAACCAAACCTTAATATTATAAGAACTAGATAAAGAAAATCAAAAACAGGTGAAATCATTAAGAAATCGGCTTGTTTACTACGAAAATTGGGGGAATCGAAACTATTTTTTAGGTTATAATTTTCAAGTTCGATGTAGTTCTAATTTTAACCTTATGTTTTGATATTTATACTCTAATACCGTATGTTTTGAATATTTATAATTTACTTGCTGTAACCACATCATGTTGAATAGGGCCCTTGACGCGCACCAGATCAGAGAAACCCCTTTATGGGACAAAGATGTCCCAACAACATTCCAAAATTGTAAGGGAAATGATATTTGTACACCATGTGTACAAGTAGTATAGCTCAAATTGTAATTATAAATGAGTTGTCTCCTGAGATTTTTAAGTATATTGTGTGCTTTTAGAATGGGCTTGGTGTGTTCGATCCCACTTGGTCAATGAATTAATAAATATGTCGTGGATAAGCAAGGTAATTAGAGTTGATAGATACGTACTTATAAAAATTGGACTGGACCGATCGATCGTGACCATGAACCGTTGAACTAGTTTGGATGCATTAATTGATATAGGCAGCATAGGAACCGGTCAAAGACTGATTGAACCAGTCAATAACCGTCTTACGTAGAATCGAATCCGGTACAATATGAACCGAATGGTTACTATAGGGGGCAGTAAAAATTTCATATTAAATTCACAACAGTTGTGATTTGGACCTTTGATTATATCATGACATTTCACCTCCTTGACCATTATGGAAATTTATGATCCTTTGTCTCTCGAGGTAAGCAATATATATATATATGTATATATATATATATAGCAACCCCCTTCTTATAACTTGAAAAGTACCCATCGATACTGTAAAGTAACAGGTTTTCTTTTTATTTCAAAAATATAATTAATTAAAATTAAAATCTAACAATAACCTACCAATTTAACCATTGATCCACCAGTTATTTTTTGGGTCGACTACTAGGCAGAATCTAATATCTATGGATACATGTATTAAATTAGGTTGACTTTATTTTCGTTTTCTCGTATAGACCCAAATTTCTAAGGATGCGTTTGGTTTGCTGTTTTCAATTTTGCAAAATGCTAAAATACATTTTCGAAAATAAAGTTAAATTGACAACATAAAACTCAAAGCATATTTTTGAATTTTTGAGTGTTCAAAATATGGAAAACAAGCATTTTAATAAAATCAAAAGATTAAAAATATAAATTTTACAAAGTAAAATTTTTAAATTTTTAAAAAAATCAAAAATAAAATAGAAAATTTAATTTTCAAAATTTTTGATAAATTTAAAAAAAATTGAAAAACAAATAGATCTAAAATTCTAAAAAATATATATATAATAAAAATAGTTCAAATTTTTAGCCCTTGTTTGGGTCCCAATATTTGGTAAAGAATGCATTTTGGAATAGTAGGTTAATAAAGAATGTATTGTTAAAAATAATGAAAACTTTTGAATTTTCGTATAATGTTATTTTATTGAAAAATGTATGGTTGAAAAGAATAGTGAAAAACATATTTTGAAAAATAATGGGAATCAAACAAGGTCTTAATGATTATTTACATAAAAATTCTACAAAAATATTTAATTGAATATAAATAAAAGTATTCTCAGTTCACGTTGTTAATTTTTATTTTCTATATGTTGAGCTCAATTTATTATTTACTTTTATTTTATTTTTGTATTGAGAAAAAAAAATATTTTAAGATTTACCCACTTTAAAATGTATTTA